CTCCGTACGACATACGTCCTTGGCAGCGAAAGGGTTAAAGGAGCGGATCCCATAACAGGGCTACACTTACAAAGCCATCCACAACTCTGCCCCCGGCTATATCTCCAACCTTGTCTCAAAGAATCACCCAAACCATCCCCTCCGTTCTTCAAAAAACCTCCTGCTTTCCAGCTCCTTCGTTAACTCCTCCCATGCTTGCCCCCTGGACTTCACTAGAGTCTCTCCCATTCTATGGAACTCTCTACGCAAATCTGTCCGTCTATCTCCCACTCTGACTGCCTTTAGGCGATCCCTTAAGACTCATCTCTTCAGGGAAGCCTATCCCACCTCAAACTAACCACTCAACCATCACATTCTCAAACAAAGCTACCTCCTCATGTGTCACTTCCCCCTCCTCTTTTAGATTGTAAGCCCTCAGGGGCAAGGCCCTCCTTACCATCTTGTCTTTATTTGTATTGTGATTGTAATGTCTTCCTTATATTGTAAAGCGCTGTGCAAACTTTTGGCACTATATAAATCCTGTATAATAATAATATAATAATCTATGCTCCTTTATGTTCATTTGGGACAATACTGAGGGTGACAAGTTAAGTACAATGGGGGAGCTTATGAAAACTGGAGAAGCCGCCTATAATAATCAGCTTCTCTCTACAGTTTGTTCAGTTAAGCTTTGAAAATGAAAGACAGAAGCTGATTAAGTGGGCAAGGGTTAGAACCTTTGATTTTCATTTCTCTCTGTCACTGTTATGGAGATGGTCTCTAGCCATCCTGCTGTCCACCGTGGACATGATTGAAAATAAAAAATGTTACAGTTGTCCTCCAGGTATGTGGATACCTGTTCTGATGACAACTTAGAGGAAGAGATCCTTTCACTTCCTGTTGTGTCTCCAGGACATGAAGTGACAAGAAATTTCCCCAACTGGGAACAGGCAGCAAAAAATTAAAAATAAAAACTGACAGGGATTCTAACCATGCCCTACTCTTTAAAATAATGAAATTAGTTTCTGCTAGAGATTTGCATTTGTATAAATGTTTATACATCTATGTATGTTTTTTTTTTTATGAACAGGAACATAAGCTTGATGAGGAAATGGAGAATATAATAAATCTGGATTTCCTTTCTCAGTCACAAGTAAATACACTTTTGGAACAACAAGATGTAGATGAAATACAGAGGTATGCCTTTTTACTTTTTGCAATTTCAGCTTAAGGGCCCGTTCACACATATAGCAGTGACCTAAGTATTACCGGACCGGATCAGCGCAGGTCACCGCAAGGACACATAGAAAACCCTCACAACGCAACGTTTTGTCAGCCAGGCTAGTGTGAACGGGCCCTAACTCTTTAGGCTCAATTTATGAACCTGTTATTCTCTTGTTTTGGTGCTATTTCCTGGATACGGCACCTTATTTACCTCACAACTCTTAGATCTCAATTTACAAACATGCATAACACTTTTTATATTTTATATATTTATA